AGAATTGATACCTAACCATATTTGGCAGATGGACGTCACACACTTGCCAGAATTTGGAAAATTAAAATATTTGCATGTGACAGTTGATACTTCTTGTGGATTTTTGATGGGCTCCCTTCATGCCGGAGAAAAAACTAAAGATGTTATAGCTCATTGCTTACAAAATTTTGCCACTGTGGGCGTTCCAAAACAGTTAAAAACAGATAATGCCCCTGGTTATACTTCTACCTCTTTTAAACAATTTTGCTCATCATTTGGCATTACTCATATAACAGGAATCCCATACAATCCACAGGGACAAGGCATAGTTGAAAGAGCTCATCAAACTATTAAAATGTACTTATTAAAGCAAAAAGAAGGAATTGGGAAGGGGTATATATTCCCCAAAGATAAACTTAACCCTTTTTACTCTAAACTTTTTAAATTTGGATTCATCAGGACTTAGTGCTGCGGAAAGGCATATGTGTCCAAAAAATGTGCATAAGTCCAAGGTACTTTGGAAAGATATTCTAACAGGACAATGGAAAGGTCCTGACCCAGTAATTGTCTGGAGTCGGGGGTCTGTTTGTGTGTTTCCACAGGGAGAACAGCAGCCGATTTGGATTCCAGAAAGATTAACTAAAGCGATTTCTACAGACCAAAAAGAAGATGATTTGGCTCAAATCCATAACAACTGATATCCAAAACTCCAGTTTGGCTATTCTTACATCTGTGACAGAACCAGGGTGCTTTTTTCAATATCTATTTTATTATTGCCCTTTGCCATATCATGAAGTTCTATTTTGTTTTTTGAGCTCATACAGATCTAGGTTAATGTTTTGGTGATCAGTTCTATTTTTTTGACAGTAGGGTTTTTAAACATTGCAATGGAGATTTCACCTGTAAAAAGTTATAAGGCCTTTACTATTATGTTATGTGTTGTATGTATTATATTATGTGTGCACACTTGTGTTTTGTGTTATATGTTTGAATGTACGTATGTCCATATATCATATATGATGAGTGCTCATGATAAAATGGATCCAAATATTTTTTTTCATGTGATTTATATGGTTTAATTTAAATTAGGTAAACAACTGTTGAGGATTGTTTTAATATGTAAACAAATAAGGAGGTTAACAGATCTGTTTGTTTACTTTCACCTTTTCATTATATTTAATAATTCTCTTAAAGATAATGTAAATTGTTAAGAAAATTGTTTTCTTTTAGTGCCTTCTGTAATGTTACATAATTTTTTCTTTAGCCATTATTGCCAGAATTCCTATCTTCATCCCAGTGCCGGTGAAGACAATGTAAATTGTTAAGAAAATTGTTTTCTTTTAGTGCCTTCTGTAATGTTACATAATTTTTTCTTTAGCCATTATAGCCAGAATTCCTATCTTCATCCCAGTGCTGGTGAAGTCAAAGATAAAACCAATCTACAGCTTCTGCAATAGCCATCACTGAACTGCTTGCAGAACTTGCCTGGACACATTGTGAACTCACCTGTATGCATTGTGAACTATCTGTTGGTGCAGCGACTTGTGGTAGTGTTGGGGTATTTTTGCTGATGATGTCATCGGTGGTACAATTTTTCCAAAAGGAGCCGTCAATTGGCTTGGTGTATCTTCCTCCCTTCTGCTTGTCATGATCGTCCAGCTAAAATTTGGGAGCCAACAGAGGTGAGGCAAAGAACCTCACCCCCCCGCTGGTACAAAGACCTCTCCACAGGTGTGGCTGTATACTGGACCGGTAGTCAGTGACGGGTAAGATCCAATTGCAATGGTACCAACCTAACGGGTAAGGATAATATGTACTATTGGACAACCGAAGGCAGGCACGGTCCATAAGCCACATGCTTGTTGTTTAAACAGAGAGGGGGAGTGCTGGGGCCCCTTCCATCAATAGACTTAAAGATAAGAAACATACGACCATCTCAATAGATGCAGAAAAAGCATTTCACAAAATGCAGCACCCCTTTATGTTCAAAACACTAGAAAAACTAGGGATAACAGGAACATATCTCAACATCATAAAGGTTATCTATGCTAAGCTTCAGGCCAACATCATTCTAAATGGAGAAAAATTGAAGGCATTCCCTCTAAAAACTGGAACAAGACAGGGATGCCCTCTTTCACCACTTCTATATAACATAGTTCTTGAAACACTGGCCAGAGCAATTAGACAAATGAAAGAAATTAAAGGAATAAACATAGGAAAAAAAGAACTCAAATTCACACTATTTGCTGATGATATGATTCTATACCTGGGAGACCCTAAAAGTTCTACCAGAAAACTTCTAGAACTAATAAATGAATTCAGCAAAGTAGCAGGACATAAAATCAACATCCATAAATCAAAAGCATTTCTGTATATCAGTGAAAAATCCTCAGAAAGGGAAATGAGAAAAACTACCCCATTTTCAATAGCCTCAAAATAAAATACTTGGAAATCAACTTAAGAGGTGATTTCCAAGTATTTTATAATGGAATAAATATAATGAAAATTACAAAACCCTAAAGAAAGAGATCAAAGAAGACCTTAGAAAATTGAAAGATCTACCTTGCTCTTGGATAGACAGAATTAATATTATCAAAATGACCATACTTCCAAAAGCACTATACAGATTTAATGCAATTCTGATCAAAATTCCAATGACATTCCTCATAGAAATAGAAAAAGCAACCATGAAATTCATCTGGAAAACTAACAGGCCCAGAATAGCTAAAGCAATCCTTAGCAGGAAGAATGAAGCAGGTGGCATCACTATACCAGACCTTAAACTATACTACAGAGCAATAGTAACAAAAACAGCATAGTATTGGCACTAAAACAGACTGGTAGACCAATGGTAAAGAATAGAGGACACAGAGACTAACCCACAAAACTACAATTATCTTATACTAGACAAAAGTGCCAAGAAGATGCATTAGAGAAAAAATAGCCTCTTCAACAAATGGTGCTGGGAAAACTGGAAATCCATATGCAACAAAATGAAATTAAACCCCTATCTCTCACCATGCACAAAACTCAACTCAAAATGGATCAAGGACTTAGGAATACAACCAGAACCCTGCATCTAATGGAAAAAAAAGTAGGCCCTAATCTCCATCATGTGAGATTAGGCCTCAACTTCCTTAATAAGACTCTTGTGGCGCAAAAATTAAAACCAAGAATCAATAAATGGGATGGACTCAAACAAAAGTTTCTTCTCAGCAAAAGAAACAATCTGTGAGGTGAATAGAGAGCCTACATCTTGGGAACAAATCTTTACCCCTCACACATCAGATAGAGCACTAATCTCTGGGGTATATAAAGAATTCAAAAAAACTAAATACCCAAAAATAAAATAACCCAATCAATAAATGGGCAAGGACATGAAGATTCACTTCTCAGAAGATGATGTACAATCAATCAACAAATACATGAAAAAATGTTCATCATCACTAGCAATTAGAGAAATGCAAATCAAAACCACTCTAAGATTTCATCTCACTGCAGTCAGAATGGCAGCTATTATGAAGACAAATAACAATAAGTGTGGCAAGAATGTGGGGAAAAGGCACACTCATATATTGCTAGTGGGACTGCAAATTGGTGCAGCCAATATGGAAAGCACTATGGAGATTTCTTGGGAAATTGGGAATGAAACCACCATTTGACCTAGCTATCCCTCTCCTTTGGTCTATACCCAAAGGCCTTGAAAACAGCATACTACAGAGGCACAGCCACATCAGTATTTATAGCAGCACAATTCACAATAACTAAACTGTGGAACCAACCAAGATGCCCTTCAGTAGACGAATGAATAAAAAAAATGTGGCATATATCACAATGGAATATTACTCAGCAATAAGAGGATAAAATCATGTCATTTGCAGGTAAATGGATAGAGTTAGAGAAGATAATGCTAATTGAAGTTAGCCAATCCCCAAAAACCAAATGTCGAATGTTTTCTTTGATATAAGGAGGCTGATTCATAGTGGGATAGGAAGAGGGAGTATGGGAGGAATAGATGAACTCTAGATGGGGCAGAGGGGTTGGAAGGGAAGGGAGCGGGCATGGGGTTATAAATGATGTTGGAATGTGATCATTATTATCCAAAGTACAGGTATGAAGACACGAATCGGTGTGAATATAATTTGTATACAACCAGAGATATGAAAAATTGTGCTCTATATGTGTAATAAGAATTGTAATGCATTCTGCTGTCATACATACATAAAAATAAGCTAAAATTTTTTTAAAAAATTTTAAGTTGTCAATGGACCTTTATTTTACTTATTTATATGTGGTGCTGAGAAATCAAACCCAGTACCTCACACATGCTAGGCAAGCGTTCTACCACTCAGTTACAACCCCAGTCCCTTGCCATGGATCTCTTTAGCCGTCTGGTGAAGCTATCAATCCTTTTCAGAATGCTTTTAAAGACAATATAGATATAAATATATCATTTATACATATGATTGTGAAGAAAACCAATTATACACAAATAATTACTAAACTAAGTAATTACTTCAAATTGTGATATAGTATATATTAAAACATTAAAGTACTGTAAGCCACCTGTAATCCCAGCCACTTGGAAGGATGAGGCAGGAAGATCACAAGTTCAAAGCCAGCCTCAGCAACTTAGCAAAACCCTGTATCTAAATAAAATGAAAAAAGACTGGGGGTGTGGTTAAGCACCCCTGAGTTCAAGCCCTGGTACAAAGAAAAAAAGGCATTAATGGAATCTACCAGTGGGCCTAATTATGATAATCTTCAAATTAGTGTTGAGACTTAAGATTCTTCAAGAGATCTGAAGGATGTGTAATTTGATATGAAAATATCTGATTTCTATTGACAAATCTATAGGTTACTGCTAATATGTGACTAGCTTATTGCCTAAATTTAACAAATGGAAAATACTAAATTGCAGTTTGAAATTGGTGCAAATAAGGATACAATTTTCCCCCTCCAGGTTCCTCAATTTCCTGATTTCTAACTCATTGAAATACACACAATTCATGAACACAGACTGTATTTTTCTCAAGGAGAATTTTAATGTGAAAAACTTTTTAACAGCAGAGATTTGTTCTAAATAATTAGAATTTAACACAAGTCTTCCAGCCTCTTAAGCAGAACGGTAATATACATAAGGGAAAATATTTTGGCTTCATCTAGTACAAGCAGATTATGTGATCAAATTACAGGTATCTCATTATAATTAGGCCCCCAGTTATAATTTGAGTTAGGTTGATTACTGAACATAGGGCTTCATAAAATATGACCAATAATACCAAGAACCTGCTTCATATTACCTTATCTTAAAGCCACAGTTCCCTGATCTCATATCCTGTACTTTTAAAAAGTTTATTTACTTGAATGAATGGAACTAGTAATAGAAACATCCATAAATGGATTTTGGAGGAGGCAGGGAATAACACTGAGCCAACGAAGAAAACGAAAATTATATCTCCTACAGACTTGATTTTGGACTTGCACATAGATATGACCTTGTGGAACAGGACACCTATTTATCAGATGGAGACGTATGTAATATTTAGTATATGAAGACACATGGGTAGTCTTTTTTAGTATTTATTATTTTTCAGAAATATGATTACCAAAGCATGGTCCTACATCTCTCTCAACTTCCAACAGTGCTTCCAGTTCAAACTTAAAAAGGATGTATTTTTCTATAACTTATCTCTATCACTGCTCAATATCATCATACCAAAACTTATTAATAATATTCTCTTTTATCCCAGGCTATAACTGTGAGTTTATTCCCTACTTTTCCATCCTTACACACAAAAACTTCCCAGATAAATGAATAACTAAGACCTTCCAAATATTTCCTTGGGCTTTCTGTATCTTGTATAACTAGTACCAGATTTGAAATTCCTGACCTATTTGCCTATATCTTTTAAAATTAGTAGCTGGAAATTGTACTATTTTGGAGTCTGCTAATTACATAGATCCCCCAAAACAATTATTTTTACTAATAAACTTTGGCTTCCTCAAAGCACATGTAGTAAGTATCAAAACTATTATAAAATGTTTCAAATGCCATTAGATTTGATAGAAACACTCAGTTAATAAAATATTAAAATCATAAATTAAACTGGCTTTTAGAATTACAAACAGTATACTATGAGAGCTGTTTCGTAAACTTCATTTTCTTCAAATGTTTTCGCAGCTTACAATAATATATCACATTAGTTCCTTGCAGCCTTTTTCAGTTTGATCTTCGTTTGTAACGAATAACTGGGTTTTCAGGTGTATGAATCATAGTTGTATAATTCACAGTAGGAAAATATCCATTAATGAGATCAAATTCATATAGACGAAGCATAGTGGACCAAATCGTCTTGATTTGAACATAAGCGAAATTTTCCCCAATACAACGATGGCGTCCTATTTAAAAAAAATTTTTTTCATCAGAATCAATGCAAATTCTTCCTCATCTCTTTTAGCCTAAAGTGATATTTGTTTACATACATTTTAGATCAGCTACAAATACATAGACAGTATAATTAAAAAAATGAATCTTACTTCACATAAACTAAGAATATAAACAGTTTATTTAGAATTACAGAATATTTTCAATGTTTTTAGGAAAATGGTTCTTGGTAATTATGAAGACCTTTCCAATGACTTTTTTTTGAGTTTTAACATCTATCTTGGTTAAACATACAAAAGGTTTGAATCATAAAACATTTCATAGATAATACAATATAGTTTCAGTGACCATGATTAAGAACAATTATTAAGAGAATACTGATTTAATATAAAGTTCTAAAAATGACAGCTGGCTGAAAATGCAATAAGCTGCTGTTTATATAGCTGAACAACCCACTTCCTGAAGAGGATGCTAGATAATTACCAGTTTAGAAATTATTCCTCTCCTGGGGCAGAATTTGGGCTACATAACTAATGCATTTTCCAATTATTAACAATCAGGTTATTCTTTTATGTTATGTTATATACTGCATTATTCAAGTTATTTATTAAATAAAGCTAAGATCAGAAGTTCCCAGCAAATTTTAGACTATTTTTATATGATGAAAAAGTCATCTGGCACTTAAATTATCTCTCTGGAAAGACCAAATAAGAAGCCATATAATACAGTTTAATTTATACCAAGTACCAATGGATGGAGAAAAAAGATTGGAGGAATAAGAATCTGCCTGATTTGTTCTAGAATCTTATGAAAATTAAGTTTTCAAATCTATGCTCAAATTTCCTAACTTAAAGACCTTCTTACTAGGAGGATATTCACAGAGGGCAAAAATGTTCACAAACAACCCAGAAAAGCCTCAAATCTGTTTTCTGAAATACTTTGTTATTATATTTAAACTCCAATGGTTCTTTAAACTGCAAAGAGCTTTAAATACAATTATAAGGGAAAACAAGAATGGACTATAAAATTAGACTTAATATTAACTATCTAGATTAGAAGGTAATACAGCATAGTACAAGGATTAACAGGTCAGTTTCCCTTACTACAAATGAAATACATTTTTCCAACTTAGATTCTACTCCTACCAAAATCTGCAAGAATATCCCTTTAATGAAAAGGAAGTATATTTATAAATAAAATTCACATGGACTATCAAGGGGAGACAAACATTTCAAACCCAAGAAATCATTATCTTACCAGCTCCAAATGGCACATAGGCAAACTTCTCTCCTGATGCTGGGTTATCCTGTAAATAGCGATCAGGATTGAAGTCCAGACGTTCTACCCATGAGTCTTTAAGTCTTTGATTGACGGTAGGAGAAACACACACCTGATGTCCTGGAGGAATGGTATACCCTGCCACAGTCTCAAAGAAAAACAACATATTTCATTTAAAGAATTTTAAAATACTACCAAATAATCAAATCATTGTATAATAAAGTATTTACATACATGGGTTATACATTTATTTTAAAAATTGCTATATGGTAGACGAGCTAAAATTATTTTGATCCCAAATGATTTTCAAGTAAGCCAACATTAAGTTGGAAGTATGTAAACAAATCAAATTCGTAATGCCTCAGAGGAAGAGTGGAATTTGGGGGAGCATGTTACTATCGGATTTATATACTTTATACTGTTAGAATTTTTTTATATAAGAAAATATTTTTTTTAAAACCAAGGGGGAAAAACCTTAACTGTTAAATGAAAATAAAGAGTATAATTGGCATTCAAAATTAGCATGTATGCTATCTATAATTATGTAAAAAAATTCACATATTTAGTATAAAGTTAAAATTATGTAGAAGTTGATGATTATTTTACTTTTTTTAATTAAAAAAATTCTCTTTGATACTTAAATTTCTTCATTTTGATAAATAAATTCTGGGAACAAAGAAGGAGAGATTTAGTCAAGAGACTTACCTGAGGAGTTTTGGCCATTCTCATCATGGTCATTATAGGAGGTCTAAGTCTTAATGTTTCTTTTATGCAGCGATCAAGTAAATTTAAATCCTTGAGCTAAAAAAAAAGAAAAATCTCCTGATTTTTTACAAATATTTAACATACTTTAGCAGCATAAAAAAATTATTTTCACTTTTTTAATATTTATTTTTTAGTTGTAGTTGGACACAACACCTTTATTTCACTTGTTTATTTTTGTATGTGGTGCTGACGATCGAACCCAGGGTCTCGCACATGCGAGGCGAGCGCTCTACCTCTGAGCCACGACCCCAGCCCTTCACTTCTTGATTAACACAAGATAGCTTGTATTCCTGGGAGAAGTACAGAGGTAACTGTTTAAAGAGAGCTGGGATTAAAATGTCCTACCACTGTCTACCATCAACAAGAGAAAAAAGGAGGGCAGGCCAACAGGAAGAGGAACTTTCACCCTGAAGAACAGCATTGCAAGGACCTACAAAATTCACTCCATCAAAAATTAAGAACATGGGCTGGGGTTGTGGATCAGAGGTAGAGTGCTTGCCTCACACGTGTGAGGCACTAGGTTTGATCCTCAGCACCACAAAAAAAATAAATAAACAAAATAAATGTAAAAAAAAATGAGAACATTAACAAATCAAAGTCATCTTTTTTTGGGGGGATGGGGGTGCCACAGGGATTAGACTTAGGAGCACTTGACCACTGAGCCACATCCCCAGCCCTATTTTATATTTTATTTAGAGACAGGGTCTCACTGAGTTGCTTAGTGCCCCACTGTTGCTGAGGCTGGCTTTGAACTCACGATCCTCCTGCCTCCCAAGCCACTGAGATTACAGGTGTGAGCCACTGCGCCCAGCCAAGTTTTTAAACTATAGAAAATTGGGCTGGGGTTGTGGCCCAGTGGTAGAGCACTCGCCTTGCATGTGCAAGGCCCTGAGTTCAATCCTCAGCATCACATAAAAATAAATAAAATAAAGGTATTGTGTCCAACTACAACTAAATTAAATATTAAAAAAAAAACTAAGTGGAAGTTTTTCCTAAACAGTTCGGCAAATATGCCAACCTATTTTCCTTGAATCATGTTTTGAATGATTCTCAAATTAATACAGCTACAAAAAAAAAAAAAAAAAAAAAATCAAGGTATCTTAAATTGATCACTTGGAATTTAAGATTTAAAATTTTCTTTCTATTAGTAGAACAATATAAGACAAAGTACAGGAAAAATAAAACACAGAAGTATCTTAATATTGTAAAACATCTGCTACTTTGCTAAATATTATCTCTAGTTCTTGTTTTTGTTATTAAATCATCTGCCAGAACTTAAGAGCACTCATATTATTAGATAAATATCTCCTAAGTCCACCCAGAGCAAAAGTGTTAAGCTGGAGATGTGATTGATATAAAATAAGAATTGTAATACATTCTGTGGTCATGTAAAAAAATTTTTAAAAAATAAATAAAATTGCATTCTCAGTTAAAAAAAAAATCTAGAAAATTAACTAAAGGCTTATAATAATCTAATTCAGAACAAAAAAGCTGGATCTTGGTAAAAAGAACAAGCTTTGTGGTCATATAACTTATGCTATGTCCAGATCCATGATAGCCTCAGAAATGAAGAGCATGGCAGCTACAGCAGCCTAACTACTATACAGGAGCCAGGACAAATATTTCAAAACATCCTATAGAAATTGTTTAACAATGCCATGTATCTGAGGTGGAGATATCAGTTGATGCTAACAAGGGCAAAACGCTTAAAAGAAAAAACTAGGAGAGCGTAAGACACTGGGTTCATTCCCCGCACCACATTTAAAAAAAATGATCAAATAAAATAAAGGTATTGTGTCATCTACAACTTGAATAAATAAATAAAAAAAAAAAACTAGGGACTGACACCTACAGGAAACTGGGAAGTTCCACATAAGGTAATTGAAAGGCCACAAGTATATAGGGAGCTTTGCACATGCCCAGATAAGATCTGCTAGAGCGGTCATCTTCCAAGAGTGAAGGGTAAGTAGAGTTGTAACTGCCTATTAAGGTGTTGATAAATCTTCTCTAACACATACAGCTCCTTAGTAAAAGTTAGGAGACTTACTATTCAAAACATTACTAGAAATCACTTAATAATTAGGTGACCATTACAGTAAACAGGCAAAGAATTCAGGGATTTCACTTGACAGACTTTATATAATTAATCTAGAAAAGTTACTAAACAAAGAAGAATATACACATTTACCAAAAAAACTAGCACCAATAAACCAATGGAAGACAGAATCTGATTTCCAGAGTTGTCACATTATTTTTAAAATGTACAGTTTTCAACAAAAATATTAGAAATACACCCCCCCCACACACACACACATAAAAAAAAAAGGAAAATATGGCTGAAATATAGGACAAAAATAGTTTAAAAAAAACTGTTCAGACATTAGACTGACTAGAAGAAGAATTTAAATGCGCTATTATCAGCAGGATTAAGGAAATAAAGAAACTAGGGTTGGGATATAGCTCAGCAGCAAAGCATTTGCCTCACATTCTCAAAGACCTGGATTTGATCCCTAGTTCCAAAAAAGGAAAAACAAACAAACAAAAAACTGTCTAAAGAATTAAAGTATGAAACAAAAACTCAGCAAATAGAGAGTATTAATAAAGTCTTGTTTTGTTTTTCAATATTTTTAGTTGTAGATGGACACAATACCTTTATTTTGTTTATTTAGCTTCATTCTTTTATGTGGTGTAGGGATCAAACCCCATGCCTCATGCATGCTAGGCAAGCACTCTACCACTAAACCACAAGCCCAGCCCTTGTTTTGCTTTCTTAAGTAGGAATTCTGGAATTAGAAAGTATAAGGACTTTGAAATGAAAATTTCAACAGCTGGGCATGGTAGGACACATCTGTAATCCTAAAGACTAGGGAGGCTGAGGCAGGAGGATTGCCAGCCTCAGCAACTTAATGGGGCCCTAAACAACTTAGCAAGACCCTGTTTCAAAGTATAAAAAGGACTGGGGATGTAACTCAGTGGCTGAGCACCTATGGGTCTAATCCTTATTAAAAAAAAAAAAAAAAAAAAGAATTTTACTAGAATGACTCAATAGTAGACGTAAACAGGCAGAAGAATAACACCAAAAAGAATAAAATACTAAAGAATATATTTAATGAAAGTGTAAGTCTTGTTTACTAAAGACCTAAAAGAATGGAATAACACCCCATGTTCATGAGTCTAAAGATTAAGATTGTTAAGAAGGCAAATGCTCCCAAATTTACATGTGGATACAATGCAATCACTACCCTAGCTTCTTTGCAGAAACTGACAAGTTGATTCTAAAATTCATGTGGAAATGAAAGGAACTAAGAATAGCTAAAAACGGCCTTGGAAAGAATAAGTTAGAGAACTCACATTTCCAAATTAAAACTTAATACACAACGACAGTAATTAATGGCATAAGGCTAAACATATAGATCAACGGAATAAAATTCAGAAATAAAGTCCTAAATTGATGATTGATTTTTTTTTACAAAAGACTATTCAATGGATAAAGAATGGGCCTTTCAACAAATAGGCTGAGACAATTGGATTTCCATATGACAACAAAAAGTAAGCTGGTTGTCTACCTTACCTATATACAGAAATTAACTCAAAATGGATCAAAGGCCCAAATGGTAAGAGATGAAATTACAAGATGTTAAAAAGAAAACATAGGACTAAAGCTTTGCAGCTTTTGATTAGGGAATGGGGGGTGCGTACTAGGGATTGAACTTAGGGGCATTTGACTACTGAGCCACCTCCCCAGCCCTTTTTTGTATTTTATTTAGAGACAGAGTCAAGATCTGAACAGACATCTCTCCAAAGAAGATACACTAAGGCCAAAGAGGACATTAATATACTCAAACAACACCAGAACAAAATACCACTTTACACCATTATAACCAAAAAGGCAATAACAAGTTTGGCAAGGGTATATAGAAATCAAAACCCTCATACACTGTTGGTGAGATTCAAAAGTGGTACAATCTCTTGGAAAAAAAATCTAGTAGTTCTTCAAAATGTTAAGCATAAAAAATGTCAGATGACCCAGTAATTCTACTCATACACAATACACCCCACAAAATTAAAAATAAATGTCCACTCAAAATCAGTCCACAAACATTTAGAATGACATTATTCATAAAACTCAAAAGTAGAAACAACCCAAATATCTATAAACTGACAAATGGAAAAACAAAATGCAGCACACCCATATATTACTGATGATAAAGACTGCAATACTGGGCTGGGGATGTGGCTCAAGCGGTAGCGCGCTCGCCTGGCATGCGTGCAGCCCGGGTTCGATCCTCAGCACCACATACAAACAAAGATGTTGTGTCCGCCGAGAACTAAAAAAAAAAAAAAAAAGACTGCAATACTGATACACACTACCACATGGATGCAACTTAACATGCTGCTATGGTTTGAAAAACATTTGTGAGTCCCCCAGAATTTCATGTGTTGAAAAGCTGATCCCCAGAGTGTGGTGATGCTAAGAGGTTACAGGGCCTTTTATGGTGGGGACCAGTGGGAGTACTGTCCTTGGAAGGGATTGAAATAGTTCTCAAGAGACCCCGAGTTAATTCTTGAGACCATTGTTATAAAAACAGCAAGACAAGTCCTACTCCTGCTCTGGCTTCCTGTCTCACTATGTGAGTTCTCACTCCTAACACTCCTGCCATGATGCTGCCATCTGCCATGATATATCAGTACAGCCAAGGGGGCCCTTGCCAGAACCAGTGCATGCTATCTGGATTTTGATCCTCCCGTTTTTGTAAAAAAAAAAAAGCACAGATATATAACTATGAGAGCTAAATAAATCCTTTTTCTTTATAAAGTACCCAACCTCAAGAATTTCATTATAATAAACTGACTAAAACAAATGCTAAGTGAAAGAAGCTAGTCATGAAATACCAAATATTTATGACTCTATTTATATGAAACGTCCAGAATAGGCAAACCCAAACAAACAAATAATAGATTCTTGGTTGCTGGAAATAAGGGACAGGGGAATAGAACATTTCTGTTAAAGGGTACTGACTCTTTGGGGAATGATGTAAATGTTATAAAATTTGTTTGTGATGATGGTTTCCCAACTCTGAATATACTAAAAACCACTAAGTTTTATACTTTAAATGGATAGATTTTTGGTGTTAATTTAAATCCCTTAATCTGGTATTTAAAAGGTTACTAAAATCAAGATTGAAAAAGAGGATATCACTACTGATCTTTCAAAAATAATGGTGATTATAAAAATAATACTATGAGCAACTGTATGCCAAGATGAAATGGATAAGTTCCTAAAAAGCCACAAACTATAAAATCTGGCCTGCACACACAAAAAAGGAAAATGTAAATATACCTATAACAAGTAAAAGAGATCAAACTGAATTCATAATCAAGAAACTTCCCACAAAGAAAGGCACAAACTGATGGATTCAAGGGTAAATTTTATCAGATATGTAAAAAAGAATTAATACCAATCTTTCAAAGTTTTCAGAAAAACCGGATAAAGGAAATACTTCCAAATTCATTTTAAGACCCTGATACCAAAGCCAAAGACATCATAATAAAACTACAAAAATCCTCTCTAAAATACTAGCAAACAGAATACAGCAACATATAAAGAGGACCGTAAGACAAAGTAGGATTTATCCCAGGAAAATAAGAATATCTGAAAATAAATGTAATATGCTATATTCGGCTTCAAAGGTGGAACCTCAAGTCAGTCCTTCTCACTTCTTTTCTGCCAACAAGCCAGGTGCAGGGTTCGTGGAGTTCTAGAGTCCATTACTACTTTGCTCAAGCACAGGCCTTTCCAGACCACAGAATTCTAAGTCATTCAGAGGCTTCTACAATACAGTCAAGAAGTAAGTACTAAAGAAACAACCAGAGATATCTCTCAGGAATCATCTAAAACGTATATGATAAAGTTTACGAAAAACAGCAGTAATAGGATATCATAGACAAGGAAAGGGGGAATTTTCTAAAAATAGAGAAGCTTATCAATTTAAGCTGAAGTGTAAATACACAAAACCTCAACTTCCCCCTTTAAAGGGGACAAATTAGCCACAGATACTCGGAAGTTACAAGGCAGCAATGAAAGTGAAAAATCCAACCAACCTGATCATAAGTTAAAGGAGGAAGATCCTCCCCGCAAACTGTACGCTGTTCTAAATAACATTTTTCTTGAAGTGTTTTATCTCTGGCCAAAAAGAAGCCCATCCAGGCACTGGTAGTTGAAGACGTATGCTGTCCTGCCAAGAGGAGTCCAATCAGCATCCCTGCTATTTCTTCATCTGTCAAAGGACGCCCATCCCTACAGAATGAATCACATGCACAAACTTAACATTTTGGCAGACACATTTCATGCCTCAACCTTTAAATAAAGGGTCACAACAAATACTTTATAAAAGTATAAAAAAACCTCTTTCATCTGCCTACCACAAGTCAGAGTATTTTTCCCCCTCAAAGACTCAACCAGTAGAAAACATGATTTTGATTCCAAACATCTTACCTACCATTAATTTTCACCAGCCTAGTCAATAGGATGCTAGTAAGGCATGAGACCTCAATATCATATATCTCAACAACTGTAAAAATCCCAAAGGTCATAGCTAGTGACTTACTTTGTCAACATCCTTATTTTCTACCTGGAAATGTTATTTAACTATGTTTTAATGTGTAGTTTACGACTTTTAACTTAATATGTGATCTGAACAGCTCTTACTTGTATGAAGAATCTAGTAGAGTTTGGAGAATGTCATCGTTTTTTTCCTCTGACTGCCTGCGTTTTTGGATTGCCTTATAGAAAATATTCTTGATCTCTCGATGAGCTCTGTCTCTGCGTCTATTTAAACATAAAAATATTTTTTTAAAAATAAAGTCACACTTTCCAAGACCAAATTCATTTTGAAAACTCAGACCTAGTTTATTAAAGCAACCATTTTTAACTAACTTAATGACCCTAAAATAATTGGCAAAAACTCAGAGCCAAGAGAAAAAAGTCATAAACATCTTATATGGTTAAAATTTTTTATATAAGAAGAGTGCATATTCATATATAGCTCAAATTCTTAACTTACTGTTTTCTAACTAAAAGCTTAAAACAAGCATGAAATTCCTTTAGAAGCATTTTCCAGCTCAACAGAAAACAGAACACTCTTTCAAGTTAACATGAAATTCCAATTTTAACCAAATCAATTCTTGAAGGAGAAGGGTCCATCTAAATAATTTGATACTTTCGTTTTCTAAACAATATTCGTTTTGCAGGAGAAAAATGGTAATATAGTCAGAAAACAAGCTTCAACTCCCAAAACTTAACCTTTAAACAGGGAGGGTACTCACTGTGTATCACAAGTACTGTGACACAGATAGCACTGTCCTCAATTCACATTTAGTGGCATAAGATCACACAGCCAATTAACAATGGAGCTGGAATTTAAAAACCAGTCAATCTCGCTCCCACGTCCCCTCTTAATCAAGTCCTCTAATAAAAAATCCTGCCCTGCCCTATTTTACTTGCAAGACCTGCTGAGGATCAACTGCAGTACTACGTACAGAAAGTAAGAAGACAGTGAACACAGCAGAGACAGGAAAACACAAGGCCTGTTTAGGAAAGTGAATGGAGTGGCCGGTGGTGCAACTCAAACACATGCTTAGTATGTGTGAGACTCTGGGTTCAATCCCCAGAACCAATACATACATAAATTTTTAAAGAGCTAATCAAAGAATCTGACTAACAGTTGATTCAAGTAAAACAGAAAGCTAAGCAGGCTATCGTACTAAGCTCAAGGATTCTGACCTCATCTAGAAGATAGGGCAGGTAAAAATAGGCGGGGTGCACTTTTATGAAAAACCTACAATAGGCCAAAAAATGTGCTGGGTGTGTTCATTCATATACACATGCTTTTATTTATATATATATATATATGAATGAAAGCATTTTGAAAACTACAAGGTTTCTTACAAATATAAAGTGTTAAAAAGAGTCGCCGAGAAGCTCTCCTAGCTTTCCTGTTTAGTCCCACCCTCTTTTATTCTGCAACTACATAGAAGGGGTAGAAGCAGAAGGAAAAGGAAATACCAATTCACAACTCCCCCCATCTCTCACCTAAATAGAAATGACTCTGCAAAGGTACAAAAAGACTAATATGCAAGATACATACAAGTCCTAAGGACAATATTTCTTAGCATTACAGTACAGTTAGGAAGAAGACAAAGAAAAAATTAAATAAAGTCACAGATCTTCAGAAGAAATGTCATAATATACATACTAAAAAACCATCAGAAAACTTCAAAACAAGTACTTAAAGGAGAGCCAAATCAGAATTCAGATTCAGAGACTTTCCTGAATACAAGGAATATGTCAGATAATTAGGCTTTAAAATATTAGAATAGACATCAAATCACCTTTTTAATAAGCTAAAACTTACTTTAAATGAGCTCACTCCATTTAAAAAAAAACCTGTCCTCAACTTTTTGTTTTCTCAATTCTTACAAAAGAATAACAGTTCATATTCTCCCCAAATTTAAAAGCATACCAACATCAGAGTAATTGCACAAAATTAAATTGGTGTGATTATCTTCTTTATCCATACCTGAAACTAGGCAGGGGCAGCCAACCTGGCAACAGCCAGGCTGCATGACTAAAACCTCCATCCAAATCTGCATACAGCTGTGCCACCTTCTCATTCAGTTGACTTCTGATTTCCTTTCCGTGTAAACAATGACTGGCTGTTAAAATTATGAGCTCAGAAAGAGCTTCAAACACATCTAGGGGTTAAAAGAACATTCTCATTACTATTTCCAAAAAGTCTTTAAATATTGTTTTCTTGAAGCTGTAAAGGGATTATGAAGGAGAATTAAGAATTTAAAAAACTCAACAGGCCAGGCACAGTGGTGCAGACCGGTAACCCCAATGGCTCTGGAGGCTGAGGCAGGAAGATCTCAAGTTCAAAGCCAGCCTCAGCAACAGTGAGGCACCAAGCAACTCAGTGAGACCCTGTCTCTAAATAAAATACAAAATAGAGCTGGGGATGTGGCTCAGTGGTTGACTGTCCCTGAGTTCAATCCCTAGTATCCCCCCAAAAAAACCTCAAGAACAAACAAGATCCCATTCGTGTAACAAAAATGTTTTCTGACTGATGACATGGCTATGCAGAACACCTTGAAAGAGATAAACTAAATTATGGGACACACCTAGTCCCTCTGTTCATCCAAAGTAGAAGCCACAAAGGCATCTCTAAACCTCATTCATGAGTTCTTCTTCATCTTGAAAAGATAAAATGGACATTAAAATAAATGTGGTTATCTTATTTCCAAGTCACCACCACACAAAAAAAGCAACAAAAAGGTCATTTAGAACATATGAGGACAATAATGCGGTACACTTCCCAGGGAATGGTAGTCAAAGACCCAAGACTTAATTTCTCCAGAGTCCAATGTAGGAAAATTAGGACTAAAAATTGAAGTGTTGGCTATATATAAAAGAAAACTTTAATCACCCATTGGCACATCCCAACATCAGAGACATGCATTCAGCATCCAATTTGATGATGCTTCCAAGTCATAAGTTAATCCAATAAATTTCCTATTCTTTATTCACCAAACGAACTTCAAGTTAGCATTTGGCTTTCCAATTAGATTTGCCAAAAACAGATCAGTAAATATTGTGTCTCACATGTATTTATGAAATTGGCATTCTAATGTACACATCAGCTTCTTGTATAGTTATAAAATATATTACATCAAAACAATTACATCTGTATGTAATATGTGTTATATATCTTAGTAATATATTATCTATGTTAATATATTGTACATTATATACTTATTATAAGCCATCTATAATTTTATATGTATGTGCCTATGTATTAATATGCAAAATTGTATGTAACATATATATAATTATATATAACATGACATGTGAGCTATGTGTGTATAAATACATATACATATCATTGACTGTAGATATCCTAAAAATAAAACAAATTTCTAGACCCTTTGTAGAAGCTGAAGCCCAAACCCAGAAGAGGCAGTCTGCTGCCCTGTGAACAGATGCTGCTTCCTGCTATAGATATGACAAATGCCTCTGAAGGCAACACATACTGTAGGCCAGTATAAACACTGGATTCACAGTTGCAACTCCAGGTAATCAAAAAATGTCCCTCTCATTAAATTCAAGGTAGTTCTATACACCTGGTACTTTGCTTTATATATCCACACATACATAACTCTACATTCACAGAAAAGTAGAATAATAGGACAAATGTAAAACATTTTGCTTACTTTTTTCTCCACTTTCTCCCCAACTCTGAAAGTATTCCTTTGTTTCTTTTTCAATTATAGAAACACACTGTTTAAAGTGGGCTATGTTAAGGCCACTCTTTAACATTTTCTTCTGCTCCAAGAAAACCTTCAAATTAAAAAAAAAAAAAAAAAAAATTAAGGATATAAGCCATTAAAATATGTGCTTGTTTTATCATAAGATCCATTAGGTTATTCTAACATGTAAAATAGTATTCTAGAAAATTGAAAATAAAAAAGAATTAAAGAATTTTTTTTGAACTATATAAGATGTGAGTAACTTAGAACACCTATACATACATATATCTGAAGTAACAAGTAGAAAAAAGGTGCCTGCTTCCAGAATCCTAGAGAAATCTACTGGTAATCCCTTGTTCTTACAGACCCTTTTCCTGATACTGGAGGGCTCATTATACTTTGACATTATTTTTATCCTCCTTTGCATACTCTCCTATTTTATTTCCCCCCCAAAAAAGTTGTCATCCCTCACTGATACTATTTTCCAGAAGTTTAATTAGAACAGTCTGAAAACATAAATTTATACTATGACAACTAATGGTAAACCGTCCAAGGCATTTATACATAAATCCAAGCAGAAGGATTTTCCAAGGCCCTTGCTTTTGAACTTGAGAAGCATTCATTCCTCCACAACTTCCCCAACCCCCAAAACAACATTTTATTGTCTATTCTTAAATACTATACTTAGGTACTGAGTTATGTATAATAAAAGTACAGCCAGAACCTACACAAAGCAGCTGACCAGTTAATCTAATTCATGTTCTATACCAACTTATAACACCTTAATTTTTACTTTAGATGGGAAAAACACAAACATATCTCACACCTGAAGTAGCTGCATTAAAAAGGGACCTGTGGGGCTGGGGTTGTGGCTCAACAGTAGAGTGCTTGCCTAGCAATGTGCGAGGCCCTGAGTTCAATCCTCAGCACCACATAAAAAATAAATAAAATAAAGGTATTGTGTCCAACTACAACTAAAAAAAAAAAAAAAAAAAAAAAAAGCACATCATTACACTGTTTAAAAAAAAAAAAGGGCGGTGGGGGGAACCTGTGGAGTCGTCAGCAATTTCCAACTCTAAGTTCTTAGGCTAGAATTTCAGACAGGAGTGGGTAGATAGGAAATCCTTTTGATGAAACAATAGGATTTCCTTGTTAGCTGCTCAGAGCAAATCCCAATATGCTAAGTGATTGTTGATTCCATTTCTTTGTGTAGGAAGCCTTTTATAATTATTTTGCTTATGTCAGCAAATATAATGCAAAATTCCTTATTAGTTACATACGGTTATTCTTCTTTGAAATATATCATGTTTCTTCACATTTTCTCTCTCTCTTTTTTTTTTTTTTTGTGTGTGTGTGGTGCTGGGGGTTGAACCCAGGGCCTTGTACACAAAAGGCAAGCACTCTCAACGGAGCTATATCCCCAGCCCTTTATTCATATTTTCTAACCAAAGAATAAATTGTTTGTACATTTTAAATGTATAATATTAAACTACATAAAACTATTATAGTATAGAATGGTCTTTACTCTAAATAAGTGTTACTTACTGCATTAGGCACATCATATCCAACTCCCTTCCCAAACACAGGTGTTGTCAGACGGCTATAAACATCCTCAGCATTCAGGTCTTCATTTTTACTATTAAAAAACAGTGCAGCAGCATCACTCCCCAAAAGGTAAGTAAACGTCTTGCCCACCATGGTAAAACTAAATACAGGTCCATACTAGAAAGAGAAGAGTACTCATGTTACACAAAGATACATAGCACCAAGATATTAATTTCTTAAATCACACATTATAGAAAAAACAAAAAACATTCATAAACCTTAAAACACTTTTTTTTCATCTTGCCATACTTTCCCTTCCTATCATTGTCCAATTTATAATTATATTCATCTAGTTGCAAATGTAGTATAAATACAACTTTTTATTCCGCTTTTCTCACTGTTTATATTGAAAATATTTTCTATCACTAAAACATTACATATCTACTTTCTTTCTATCATTAGACATCACAATGTTAACGTAAATTGCTTTATTATTGTTGCACATATGGATAATGTATCAGGGTTCTTTTTGTTTTTGTTTTTATTATGAATAATTCTACAACTGGGGTTGTGGCTCAGCGGTAGAACGCTTGCCTAGCACATGCAAGGCCCTGGGTGTTGTGTCCAACTACAACTAAAAATATTTTTTAAAAATATAATAAACTTACAGGGATAGCCAAAGTATTTTCTACAGTACTTGCTATGTGAATACTCTAAAAGTTTATTTAGTTATCAGTTTTACACTATTTCATCAACATGAATGATTTTATTTTCTTGTTGCTATTGTTAAATTTTGTGAGGTATTAAAAGTTTTACCTTGCAGTGTTTTTATTATTATTAAAGACTATACTCTGGGAATATAATCATAAACAAATATATTGTCTTAAGACTCTTTTCCCTTGGAAAACACACAAACTTTTCAAATAATCAATATTAACAAATATAAAATTGCAAATGGGACAAACATTACACAACGGAAAGCAACTCTCTGTGATGAGATAGCCTATAAAAAGGGAGCACCTAAAGAGAAAAAGACACCTGACCTGAAACTTAAAGAATAAGCAGGAGTTAGCTTGGCAGTCAAAAATGCACAAAGGACATAAAGATGAGAGAAAAAGAGGAGAGGATGAAATGAGAGTTAAGTAATGTCTAGACTACAAAGAGCCTTATAAATCATATTAAAGACGTTTTTCCTTGAAAGCATAGGAAACTGTGAGGAAAACACATTGATCTATATACATTTGAAAAGGTGTCTGCTAAGTGCAAAGAATGAAGGGACAGGAGCAGAAAGGGTTTCTGTAGTTAGAGAACATGCAGAAATCTGATGATAAGCACTTAGCAAAAAGTAATAGTGAAATAATGGAAACAGAGACAGACAACCAAGTAGTTCTAAAGACAGAATCTGCAGACATGGTGGTAGATTGATAGAGAGCAAAGTTATCAAGAAGGAATTTTATGTGCTGGGGCTGTAGCTCAGTGGTAGAGTGCCTCACACATGTGAGGCACAAATTAAACAAAGATATTGCGTCCATCTATAATTAAAAAAAAATTAAAGAAAGAAGGAATTTTATACTTCTGGTACTTTACAAAACTATAAAAAAATTAATAAGAGAGTAGAATAGAATAATCAGGATAGCAGAGAGAAAAGTCAGTGGTTAAATAAACATTAGAAATATTGGATTTCAGATGCCTTGGAGACAACTAAGAGAAGGAATCATATGAAAGTTGGAAAGTTGGATATCCAGGTTTATAGCTCAGAGAAAAGACCCAACGTGCACAAATTAATTTGGCTATCTACACATAGCCAGTAACTAGAAGCTCCATGAAGACAAGATCTCCTAGAAAACAGATGTAGGACCAAACCTCGGAGAACCCCAACAGGAAACAGCCAGTCATCTACCCACAACTGAGAAAAAAGTAGTCAAAGAAGCCAAGTTCACTGGATTTGTAACAGAGGTCACTGGTGAAGGGGTGAGAGGAGACTAGAGTGGACCAACAATTAGGTAAACAGAAGTAGGGAAAACAGCAAGTAGACAACTCATGGAAGGGGAGCCACATGAAAGAAGACAGAGGTTAAGAGAAGCTTTGATTTTTAGATACAAGTCACTGAAAATTTTTCAGAGAAAAAGGGAAAGAGCCATTCAAGAGAAAAGATATACATTGAGAGAAGAAATAGTATACTGTTGTGAGACAAATGAGGGATGAAGATATTGGCCTCCAATAGGAGGCAACAGTTTTATAAAATTAAGATGATGGTACACAGTAAGCTAAAACACAAGATTCTGAAGCCAGACTGCCTGGATTCAAGTTCCAGTTCCTCCACTTATTAGCTGTGTGACTTTAAATCAGAAACCTTAACCTCTCTGGGCTTCAGTTTCCCTCATCTAGAAAATGGTAATAATAAAAACAGAACTTGGTTAACAGATCTATTGTCAAGATTACTTATTTGTTTATTTCTTTTTGCAGTGCTCAGGATTCCTCACACATACTAGGCCAGTGCTCTATCACTGAGATATATCCCTAGCCCAAAATTATGTTACATTCATAATTTATATAAATTATACATAGGACAAAAAAATGCTTTGACTATAGCAAATATGACTTATTTTTGATGATTATTATTATTACAATCATCATTATTATTAAAAGCATAGGCCCAGAAATCAGACTTTGTGTAAATATTAACTTGCCACTGGCTAGCAAAGAGTTCAAGAACAAATTATATAAAATATACCTGAAAGAGTTTTTGTGGTACTTCAGTGAAAACAATTATGTAAAGTATCAAATCATGACCCAGTAAATGTTTTTAAATTGTTACTGTGATAAAAAGAAAGAGAATAGAGACAATTAGGTTTGTATGTTCAAAAGTGAGTTCTCGGGCTGGGGTTGTAGCTCAGGGGTAGAGCTCTTGCCTAACAAGTGTGGGGCACTGGGTTCAATTTTCAGCCCCGCATATAAATAGATAAATAAAATAAAGGTCCATCAACATCTAAAAAATTTTTTTTAAAAAAGTGAGCTCTCACTGGAAAGCTTAGGGGGAGACCAGGGATTGAACTCAGGGGCACTCGACCACTGAGCCACATCCCCAGCCCTATTTTGTACTTTATTTAGAGACAGGGTCTCACTGAATTACTTTTCACTTAGCGCCTTGCTGTTGCTGAGGATAGCTTTGAACTCGCAATCCTCCTGCCTTAGCTTCCTGAGCTGCTGGGATTACAGGCATATGCCACCATGCCCAGCTCATTGGAAAGCTTTTAATCACTCTTTAAATAGGAGACAAAGTCATCTACTCTGCTGGAAAGGTAGAAAGATTCAAAAGTTTAGAAAAGTGAAGGTATGAATTTGTTATTGAGATGAATGGGAAACTAAGGCATTTACAGAAACATCACAGAATTGTTGAGCAGAATTCAAATTTCATGCAAGGTAGGCAATAAGAAGAAATTAATCTAGCACAGGAAAGAACAAAATGATAAGTGCCTCTCCAGCCCCCCAGTTAATATTGCCAAGTAAGCCCAGAAATAGGATCCAGGGGGAGAGAAACTGAGCTATTAGAAAGAACATAACTGGAATGATGGGACCCAGACCCAAAGTAGAAAAAGGAAGAAACAAGGCTGACAGATGAGAAGAGTAAATGAGAACAAAATGCAGTAGAAGATCTAACGAAGTTAAAGAATGGTTATAATCAAAGGAGTCTCACAAGCAAATCAGGAGAAGGCATGTTATTTGGGAGCCTAAATTAAGATTGTTAGGTGAAATAGTTAATAGATCTAAAGTAGGACTGTGAAAAAAAATAAATAAAGTAGGACTGTGGAGTAAATAATTGAATTAATATAGGAAAGCTCATTAGAAAAGAGAAGGGCAAAGAGATGAGTGCCCATGATGTCATATGGGTCATCCAAGGGGGAAGGAAATCATGGAATATGTATAGAGCAGATTAGAAAACTTCAGATATGTGATTAAGAAAAATGAGGCTCAATTTTATCAATTTTAACTATAGTCAGTGCAAACAAACTTTAGAGCTGTGATTTTTATACCATAAGTCATCAGAACTACAGGTTTCCTTAATGGTGTCTCAGAGAACTACCCCCAGGACAAGGGGAGAAACTAAAAAGAGTTTTAGGTTTTTAAAGGTCTCTCCAATGCCTTAGATCACAGCAGCTTCAATTTTATGATTTCTATACTGTCAATAAGCATAAGATCACATTTTTTTCACTGTGCTGCCATTTATAAAGAAAAAAAAAAAATTGAAAAGCACTTATCTGCCGCAGTCTGGCTGGGCACACAGCCTTGTAGGTTCAAACAGCAACGTTTATTCCCAAACTCTCACCGGCACTCTACACACACTTCCCGAGAACACACTCCCTCCACCCAGCTCAGTGCGGCAATTCTCTCTGAACCCCACAAGAACTCCAAAGTAGCGGGTCCAGGATCTGCCCTAATCCCAGCAGGATCCGCCCTAATCCGGAGCTGCCTTATTCCCCCCCCAGGATCCGCCCTAATACCTGAGCAGCCCTAATCCCAGAGCAGGGTCACCTTTCAACCATTCCCTCTAGCAAAATGCCAGGCCTCATTCAGACTAAGCTGTGGCTCTCAACACTTATCTATTTATCTAATTTTCCTAATTTTTTTCCTCTAATTATCTGGAAGACTTACCTTCTCATATGCATTTTCTAGGAATTCAATTGGACTTTTCCCAAATGCTATAGCATGCCCAAGGAATGGAATTGGAGAGAAAATGTATGGTGGACTTTTCTGCAAGAGAAAACAAAAAAATAATAAGTTCTCATTTTAAGAATCCATTTTAGTTTCATGACCAATTAAATGAAATTTGCTGTTAATACTTTAAAAAAAAAAAAAATCACCAAAAAGTGAAACATCCAAAGTAATTTAAGAACAGCCAAACTGTCAATATCTTAGGAGAGTAGCTGAAGTTAAAATGAAGAGAAACTCAAAACATGGTATAAGATAAATGACTAGAGAAACAGAAAGATATCACAATTTTAAATGACACTATCAAGTATGTCCAGTACTGATGGCTTCCAGGCAACATTTCTAATTATTTAACAGAAAAAGAAAAAACAAGTAAGCAAGCAAGCAAACAAGGAAATCACGTCATTGTTTCTTCACTTCAACCACTCACAATTTTAATCCCAGAATCTTGCCTAAGGAAGGAATAGAAAAAGCCAAACAGTAACTTGAGGTATAGAAATTAGAGAACTATTTAAGTGACATTTACAGTGAAAAGAATATATTTTATGCATTGCTCTCTGCAAATGAACTAGATCCATTAACTTTAATTTTTTTTAAAAAATTTTAATTTATAGTGGGGGAGGGTGGGGACAGGCTGTGGTTGTTACTGGGGATTAAACCCAGGGTTCAATCCACATGCTAGGCAAGTGCTCTACCACTGAGCTACATGCCCAGCTTCTGATTTATAAAGTAGATCAATCCTACCTTTTTTCTAACATAAAAGGTTCTTTAGATGCCACAAAGTGAGACCCATAGAAACAACAGTAAATCTCCTGAAAAACAAACCTTCACTGATGAAAAAGATGATCCTCCTCAGATATTTGGTGGCCTCAAACAGAAAAGAGCACCACCACCTCACCTGTCTTTCCAAAGACAAATACCACTTCCTCAAAAATCACCTGTGTTAAGAAAAATAGCAGTAGTAACTCTGCCTCCTACCTGTTATGGTAAACTATTTTAAAAGCTATTTAGAACTTAGTGCTAAATACAATGTACTTAGTTTATATAATGCATTATCAGAATAGTTTTCAATTGTTAAGGGTACACTGATCAAAAATATTTGGGAGGAGGGTTGGGGCTGTAGTTCAATGGCAGAGCGCTTGCCTAGCATGTGTGAGGCACTGAATTCGATCTTTAGCACCGCACATAAAACTAAACAAATAAAGGTATGTTGTCCATCTACAACCACGAAAAAAAATCTAAAAACTATTTGGGAGATCTTAAACTAGTGATCAAAGAAGTCGCTAAATTCGAGAAATTGACATTTTGATAGTAAAGGAAAGCTTTTACCACATTCTAGTCACCCCATAGTCACTGAACCACACAAAGCCGCCTCCTGGAAGAGGGCAGCTACCAATAGCATCTCCATTAAGGCCCTCACCAAGGGCCCCCACCAAGGGCCCCAATGCAGCAATAAAGGCCAGCAGAGCCACAGGACACTCAGAGCCGAGGCCAGGGCCAGGGCTGCCAGACCAGCCACCACCATTAAGGCTGCAGCCCACACAGTTATCACTATGCCCACAAATGCAGCAAGCAGCAAGTACAACACCAGCCAGTACCAGACACGCGGCCAGAGCCGCCACGGACACCTCTGGAATCACGATGGCCAGCACGGCCCCCAGCACAAGGCCACGGCGGTAGAGACCGCCACGGGCACCAGCAGCAATGTCGTCACTGCGGCCGCCACCAGCGACAGTACCACGAGACGACCGCCTCCCCGAGACCCGCAGCCCTGGCCAGGGAGCCGGTCAGCGCCGCGAACACGGTACATGTCGAGGTAGCTGATCGCGCCCTGTCCCCTAGGGTGCACTTACCGCCCCGGCTGGCAGTGGGACCAGGTGACTGACAGCGAGGCGGAACAGATAAACCAGGCTGAGTGTGAAGGCGCAGGCGATCAGCAGCATGGACAGAAGGTTGCCTCCAGTCACCCGCTCCATCGCCTGTCCCAGCACGGACCCGCCAGCCTGCAGAAAGCCCAGCAACACCATCCTGGCGGCCGCTTCGCTCCACCGGAGACACTGGAGGCCGAGGTACCGCCGCTCCTCCGAGCAGAGGGAGCGAGAGCAGCTAACAAACGCGCCAGACCTCCAGGTCTCCTACTAAACCCACCACCCACACCCACCGCTCGCCCGCGCGCCACCACGTGCGTCACAAAAGGGGCGGGGCCTACATCTGACCACGCCCTCAGAGGTGCTCTACGACACCGAGGTCTCCTTGCGCCAGAGATAGGACTTGAGGAAGCGGGCTGCGTCTGTGGCACAAGGGATCCAGGGAGTAAAAAGAAGTCGGCTTAAGAGACGATCATTCCTTGAGGACGGCGGGCCATTCGGGCCTGCACCCCTGGGGTGCGGCCAGCCGGCAGCCGGCGCGGGAGGGGCTCGGCGGAGGGATCTCGGGGCGGGAGGTGTGGTTGCCGAATGGCGGCGGAGGCGCGCTCTGTGATTGCACCGCGCGCCCCTGAGGTGATCTCAGCCTATGTCGCGTCAGCAGGCGGAGTGGGTCAAGCGCCGCCTCCTGCCTGGGCTCCCAGAACGGCCGCTCCTAGCTCCCTCAGGTATCCCTTCCCGGGCACTGGGAGACAGCCCCTAATTGCGTTTGGAACTCGGAGTCGTGAAAAGCTGAGGCGTGCAGATGCCGACAGCACCTGAAGGGAGGTCAACCCCGCCCCATCCCAATTAAAAACACTTTCACAGATATTAGTTAACAAAAGTTATTAGGTAAGATAAGTCTTTAAAATAAACGTAGATGTTATAAAAAGTAGTGGTCTGTTTGAGGCCACATTTCCAAGATTGCCCGTCATTCCGAGGGTTTATTATCCAGAAAGATTGGGAAGCGGGAGTTCAATCCTGAAGCCATCATCAAACTGATCTCATTCACTCCTGTGATGTCGCATAAGCTCTAAGGTGACCACCAAATTGAACTCTTACGAATTACTAACACTTGACTAGATTCGTTTGTTTATTCCATCAAGGTTAAGAGCTAGGTTTTGTGCCAAGCCTAGGGTTACAGCAAGGCCCTCAGGGAATGAATAAGAATATCCAATTGCCTACTAAATACTTCTACCTAGAGATCTAACATCCTTCTCAGAGTCAGTAAATCTAAAGCTAAACTGCTTATCTTCTCCCACCCTTCTGCCAACCTGCCCTCCTATAATGTCTCTGTAGGAAGTAGACCTCTATGCATCCTGCTTTCCTCCTCCTTCATGTCTCACATCTAATCAGTCATCAAATCCTTTAATTCTCCCACGTTAAAATTTCTCCATTCCTATGCCACAGCCTTAGGTTAAGGCCCTCATGCTCTCTTATTTGCATTACTGCAATGTATCTGGGCTTCCTATTTCCAGAACTGTCTTCATCCTGACACTTCTTGAGTCACTAAAGTGGGTTTGGGCCAAATCCCAAGAGACATGGTGGTGAACACCATAATCCCAAATGTTGAAAATCATGAAAGATCTAAAATCCTAAAAGATCAAAACCCTAAAAAATGTAATTCTGGGGGGAAAAAAATTCTTAAAAACACATTTGTTTACATCATTTAAGAGAAATTTATTTGAAGAAAACAAAAACAGGACAGAACGTTTCATAGACTACAGAATAAAATAGTCAATAACATTTTTGCAAGCATAAACATTCAGGTATGCTAATGACAGTTGCGCTGTTGTAACAATTATTAGCAGATGGATGGTATTCATAAAGAAACAAAAAAAAGGGAATTCTATAAATGAATATCATTATGGTTGGTAATTGTGTACATACATTCAACTTTATAACTGCTGTCATCTGAAATGCCATAATGACAACTCAAGTCTTGATAAAATTGGTCAAAAACTATATGAGTTACTAGCTACCACTGCATGTGCAGTGTGGTTCAAAGAGCCAAGATCTCAAAGGACATCTCTTCATTCATTGAGGAAGTTTCAAGATACTTACATATACACACATTATTTACACACAAAGTCAAAGTGTAATTTGCTTTTGCAGAGTCAAATATGCAAAAAATAATAATAAATGCATAAAATGAATTAAAACTTTCTAAAAGTCAATATATCTTATATCTTCAGGGTTAGAAATAATGCAAAGATGAAAGACATAGTGTGGCAAGTGGTAAAAAATAATGTTGAAAATTTAAAACAAAGAAATTTGAAAATAAAATAAATTGAAAAATGAAAAAAAAAATGTATTATGGGACAGATTATCAAGTGAAGATAGTTCATAACAAGTGGCCAAATTTCATGATCGTTAAATTTCAATCAGAGGCTTGGAATTTAATTAATGTTTCCATTTGTGTCCTGTTATAGGGAGAAGCATTGTAATCAAACTTACACAAGGGGCTGGGGTTGTGGCTCAGCGGTAGAGCACTCGCCTAGCCCATGCGAGGCACTGGGTTCGATCCTCAGCACCACATATAAATAAATAAATAAAGATATTGTGTCCAACTAAAAAATAAATATTTAAAAAAAAACTTACACAAATAATTATATTGCCATGAAAATAAGAATCTCACTAATAGTTTCCAAATCCTAGAGGGATAAGACACAGAGAAAAAATAATTATTTTATCTTGTTCCCAGAGGTATGCTTTACCAAATTGTTGCATCCTGCTTTCTCATGTCTAATCAGTCATTAAATCCTTTAATTCTCCCACGTTAAAATTTCTCCATTCCTATGCCACAGCCTTAGGTTAAAACCCTCATCCTCTCTTGTTGGCATTACTACAATGTATCTGAGCTTCCTACTTCTAGACCTGTCTTCATCCTGATACTTCTGGAGTCACTAAAGTGGGTTTGGGCATAATCCCAAGAGACATAATCGTGAACACCATAATCCCAAATGTTGAAAATCATGAAAGATCTAAAATCCTAAAAGATCTAGATAACGTAAGAGGAAGAAAAAAGAAATGTTTTTCTTAAGTCTGTTAAAGAATCAGAACTGTGTCAAACAAAAGATCATGAAAATTAATTTTAGTTCAGCAGTCCATTCATCCCATGTTATTAATTCTTGTTGTGCTTGATGTTGAGTTAGCAGTTATATGAAACAACCAGTTTCTTCATTAGCATTCTGGAAATTCTTGCCTAGTACAATGATAAGATCTTGAAGTTAGAAACTTTTCAGATTCCTTTCATTGAATCTACTGAATAATCCATGAAGACAAAAAACTTTAGGATTATAATTGCATACAACAGCTTTCAGGACATCAAAATGGTCCGTGAATGATAAAGCTTAAAAAGGCCATTAAAAAATCTTAAAATTTTGATGAGTGTTTATTATTGAAGCCAGATTTAAAGATGGGTAGTTAGTGTAGTTAGGTAAATGGGTCTAATAACCAGTAAAATCGAAAATGAAGGCCATGTTGAGAATGGAGTCCCAGAAAAGCAGAACAACACTTGCAATGTTAATGTTCCCAAGCCCCAGAGCCCATCCCAAAGAAATGTTAATGAAACAACTCCCAACAAACATGGCAGATGCTAATCCAAAAATCCTTCCTGCCCAGATTACTCCTTTGGCCCACGTGTGCCCCACCCTTTGGGCCTTCCCACCTATATTCCATCACTGAAAAATAACAGAACAAAGGACAGGAATGGGACAGAAATGCGGAAAAGCTGAAAGAAGACCTTAGCTATAAAAGACGGGAGACATCACCCTTCCACAGATTCCACCTCTTGAGTCCCCTTCTTCCTCTGGGGAGAAGTCTTTTCTGCTGACCTTTAATAAAGCTTCTACTTTCCACTCTAAAGTTGCCTTGGTGTGCTTCTCTGGTGTTATACTTCAACATTGGGGAAGCAAGGACTCTTCACCGTTAAACAGCGGTAACAGATTGGAGTTCCCCATCGAGATCTACACCGAGGTAAGCGCCTCTCCACACACCCAACGTCTGTCTGAGGTGCATCTTTCTCTCTCTTTCTTTCTGGAGGGTGATGTGGGCACCCGACAGCTATTTAGACACAATTAGTGCAGCCGCCACTCTTCAAGACTGAGGTGAGAGGTTTCCCAGCCTAGGCAGCTCTGAATCACCTGTTCAATTCAGAGCAGGCATGTTGGGTTCTGCCAAAGCCGCTTCCCACTTTTCTGTCTGGGCCCAGAGAGCAATTGGCGTGAGTACACAGTATCCCTAATCCCGATCTACCTCAGATGCGTGGAGGTGGAGGAAGGAGTTTGGAACAACTGTGGAATTCCGGTCTGGGCTACACTCAGACCTATTCCTAAGATTCCTTTCTCTTGAGCCCCCTCCCGACAGCCCTAAGGGGTATCTAGGGTGATCGGTAGATGAATGGCACTGAGGGAAATCCCCAATCACATTTGCCTCCATGTGGGCTACACAACACTCCCAACCCTGCATCCATTCCCTCCTGGATGCTCCCCTTCCTTCGTAGGTCAGAAATGTTAGCAATTCAGATTGTAGGACTGAGAGAAAGACATGGGATGATTAGTAAAAGCTGCCTATTGGGGTTTTTAGCCCCCGTTCCCTCCTGACCTGCGGGAGAGATTGGGGGAGCAAGCCCCTACCAGGACGAACCAAGAAAGGAAAGGGTCAAGGGTCGACTGACCTCTGACCAGAGGACAATCAGACACGTCAGGGAGACCAGTCAAAGCTGTGTGAGAAAACACACACAGCTAATATAATTTACAGGAGCCAATCAGGATAAAGGTCAACAGGGTGGAGAGAGTTCATGTGTACACCCATCCTACAGGCCGTAATGGGTGACATGAGCTATCCACGAGGGCAGAAGGGTTCTGAGCCTATCCTAGAGGTCATCTGATTTTTCATCACAACCCAGGCAACACCTTCTGGCTGATCCCTAGGCGGCTATCTTAGCCACATATGGTCCCAGGACCTGGAAGCGGGTAGCAAGTTAGGTTTCCTCTTTTCTGATGCAATATGCACCAATGTTAAATCATGCTCTACAGCTTCCCAGGTTCCCTAATGTGCATAGGTAACTTTTACTAGTCTGTTTTACCGCTCAGATGTTTAAAATGTGCTGTGTTCTATTTAAGCTGCAAGAGGGAGGCATTTTTAGAATCAACTCTTCTGGTAGTCTCTCCAATAGAAAGCGCTATCTCACAACCAGGAGGTATCCCTTACCCTCAGGAGGTTCCTTTAGTCTACAGAGCAAAGTCAACAAGAAGAGCGCACGATTCTCTTTTATTGTGGGTTCTTAGTGGCAGGGAGGAAAGCAGTAATGCCCTTAAGTCTGAATCCTCCCAGGGTCTTTGGCACAGGGCAAACTGAGACCCTAGCACTTTGCCAAAGGGGACCAGAAACACTTGGCAAAGCAAGGTGAGAGACGGGTTTTCTGGACCTTTTAGGAAACTCAAGCTTAGGGAGACGTCCCTAATGAGAACAGTTTTCTCCAGCGCGGGCGCCTGAGTCCTGTTTTTTT